AGGACCGGGACAGAAACAGAAACCGGGACAGAGACCAGGGCAGAAACTAGGACCGGGACAGAAAGCGGGACCGAGATCGGAACATGGACAGGCCGTTCCGCGGCGCAGCAGGTCAGTGCCCGCGGGATCCGGTCGGGATCGTGCCTGGGACATGGACCCAGTTTGGGACATGGACCCCAGGGGGGGTCTCGGGGCGCGGGTGGGCCCTGGCGGGGGTCCCACACTCGAAGGCTGGGTCCTGATCTCTCCCTGTGCCCGGGTCCCGATGTCTCCCCGTGCCTGGTCCTGATCTCTCCCCATGCCTCGGTTCCAGTGTCTTGCTGTGCCCGAGTCCTGATGTCTTTCCATACCTGGATCCTGGTATCCTGCCATGCCCAGGTCCCGGAGTCCCAGCCTCCAGGTCCCGGTACTTCCCTGCAGGCCTCTCACTGTGCTCATTCCCTGCAGGAAGGAGAGGAAGGTGGACAACATGAAGCCCAAGCACCCCGAGGAGCAGGAGATCCCGTTCCGCCTGCGGGAGATCATGCAGAGCCGCGAGGCCATGAAACGCCTGGGCCAGGGGAAGAGGAAGGCAGCAGGTGGGACACGGAGGTGGCCCGAGCAGGTGGCCCAGGAGCCCATGGCACAGCTGGAATCTGCCATGGGAGCTCCTTGTCCCTCTGGTGATGTCCTGGCCCTGCCCTGGCAGCAGGAGGGATCCTGGGGTGTCACTGCTGCAGTAATGTCCCCCGTCTCTCCTAGAGAAGAAGCAGCAGCAGAAGCCCAAATCCAAGGGGGACATCCCGGTGCCCAGGTTCCGGAGGGGGAAGGGGGAGTCGGAGCGTTCCTACATCTGCCGCATGGAGCAGGAGGTGCAGCACGTCCTGTTCCTCACCGAGAACCAGCTCCAGCGGGAGCCTGAGCGGGAGGACACGGCTCCAGAGAAGTCCCAGAGGAAAAAAGAGTGAGAGCAAGGCCATGGGGGCTGGATGGGGCCAGCCCAGGCCTGTGGCCTGTCCCCCTGCTCTGGTCTGCAGGGCAGGTCTGGCATTGGCAGCGGCTGGTGGGGCAGGTGGGGGGCTGTGGACCCCCTCTCCATGGATTTGGATCTCTGAGAATGGAGCCACAAGCCTGCTTCACCCTCCTGGGGGGTGAGCTGTGGGATTTGTGTGGCTCCTGTGGGGTAGGGACTCACCTCCTTGCTCCCAAGCCCTGGCCACAACGAGGCTCCTCAGGTTTCAGAAAAAGAAGCTGGAAAAAGCTCGGAAGAAGAAGGAGGAGAAGAAGGTGGACATGCTGGAGAAGAGCCTGTTCCAAGGTGGGGCTGGAGCAGGGTGGGCTGGAGTGACCCCCAGCCCTGGGGGGCCAGTACATGGAGGGGATTGGCACATCCCCAGGGGCTCTGACCTGACTCTGGTTTCCCTCACAGACACAGTGGCGTTTGGGGAGGTGGTGACACAGCCACCCACCATCACCTCGCGGCCCCGGGGACGGGGTCCTGCCGAGCAGGTGAGCTCTGGGGGACAGTGCCACCCCCCCGGGTACCTGCAGGGCTGGGGTGGCCTCAGTGGCCCGGTGGCAGCTCCTGGCAGGGCGGTCCTGGTGTCTCATCCTTCATCCCTGAGCTGTCCCGGCTCTGCCCACAGGCTGGACGGAAGCGGCTCCTCCTGACGCCTCGGCTGGGCCGGAGCCAGGCATCCCCCGTGTCCCCAGTGTCCCCAGTGATGTCCATGGCTCGCCGGCGCATCGTGGAGGAGGAGCGGGCGCGGGTCATCCAGGCCTACAGGGACATCCAGAGGCGGAAACAGCTCCAGCGGGAGCGTTCCCAGGCTGGGCACAGGGCCCTGCACTGAGCCCACCCGGAGGGGCTGTGCATTCCTGGTCCCTCTGCAGGGACCCCAGGACTCGAAGGGGACATTGTTGTGATGCTCTCCTGTTGCTGCTGAGCCCTGGGACTCCCACAGACTCCCTGGAGTGGGGTCCCTGCGGTGCCATGGACCTGCTTGGAGTAAAAGTGCCAGTGGGAGCTGATGGCATGAGCATGTCTGTGCTACCGCCCTGCCCGGGTTCCCTAGGGACTGCTGTGCAGGCAGATGGCAGTGCCAGGCATGTCACTGTCACCACAGGCTGGCCCTGGCAGGGCTCTGGTGAGGGCAGGATCCTCATTGCTCAGCCTTGAGGAGACCCCAGTGCCTGGCCATGACCCCTCCAGCTCCAGTCCTCAGTGGGAGGAAAGCAAGGCAGTGCTGAGGACATGGAGCATCCCCCAGGGCTCGCCTGCACAGTGTCACCTCCCTGTGGTGTCACTGCTCATGGCACTATGGAGCCTCTGGTCTGTGGCTGCACCACCCCTGCCCTCAGCACTGCTGCTGTGTGCCCCCCTGGCCCTGGCAGACCCCTGATGACCCCGGTGCCAGGTGTGCTGCCACATCCCCACCACCGCACCCACACCCCCACTGTGCCACCCGCCCCATCCGTGCGATGCCCCCGGCAGCCCCTGGCTCCGGGCCCCGGGGAGGCTCCGGGGCTGCTCCCGGCGTGGCTCAGCCGTGTCTGCCCTCACCTGCCCGCACAAAGGCCCCGCTGTTCCGCGGCCCCCGCCGGCACAAAGCATTCCCTGTTGGAGCGGGGCTGTGGCCGGCGCTGGCGGCACCGGTGGGATCCCGCGCTTCCGGAGGGGCTGGACATGGGAGGGAGCCACCGGCAGCTCTGCTGTCCCCACCGGAGCTGAGCAGGGACAGTCTCTACTACCCTGCTTTTTGGGGTCACCACTGTGCCCCCGGGGAGCTGGACGGGCCTTTGGGGTGGTCACACACTGGACCCCGCTCTGCCACGCGGTGCCAGTGGCTGGGAGGAGGGAGCGCTGCGGTGACAGTGGCCCTGGGCATGTGAGTGCCTGGCACTGCTGGGGGATGTTCCTTCTGCCACCCGGCACCAGGTAAACACAGGTGCCAGGTAAACACAGGTACCAAGTAAACACGGGAGCGGAGCCAG